ACCTACAATTTAAACATTTCTCATTCATCCTATGGCTAGCGACGCCCTTGCTGCATGTGATAACTAAAAAATAAGCTCTCGTATATAATTAACATAAGCCTCTAGCCTTCCCTAAGGATGACACCCCCTAAAGATAAAGTGGGAGCAGTTCTCTTACTTTCAAACTTTTTTTATTAACATATTTAAACTACTCGTATGTTAGCTAAAGAGGCATTAAACATTTTCTTTGAGGTTTAATATGAGAATTAAATAGCTGAGTTCAGATAATAAAGGAATAAGCCAGATAATATTTGCTTTGTTGCTTTTTTCACTTCCACAATGTACCTACCAATAGTCAGGTTTCAAGGAATATTTTGCTACAGTTCGTATATTCCGCTGCGTAATTTCAAATCCACTTGTCAAAATATCGCAAAACAGCAAGTTACATACTTTATTTTATAACGTGCAATGGATTATTGAACATCAACAAGTGGATGCTGATTTTTCGAGCAAAATCATTGTAAGCGATGAAGCTCATTTTCACCTCGATGACTTTTTTAATCGCCAAAATTGCCATACCCACAACGTGTCACTGTTTGGTGCGGATTTTGGGCTGGAGGCATCACTCGACCATACTTTTTTGAAAATGAGGCTGGTGAAGCATAACTGTTACTGATGCTCGATATCACGCCATGATAACACAATTCTTTATGCCGAAATTGGATGCTATGGATATGTCCAATATGTGTAAAGTCGTGGAGGCCAACTGTCCAATATGATATTCCTAAGTCCTTTATGGCTCAATAAAAAGTAACAATCTAACGACTTAAAATTGTGTTTTCTATTTAATTCAAAATTTGCGTTAATTTTGGGACACCCGTTAGTACTGGTAATAGTTCAAATATAAGATTTTTTATGGAAAAGTAGTGTAAAGCAAAAGATGCAAAATTAGCCGTTAAAGCATGTCCACTAAGTACACGTTTTGAAAAACTAAACATGGTGCAAGAAAATGGATTCTCAGGTGAATTTAACGAGCAGTTAGATAGAAAACCTATTTAAGAGTGCCGAAAAGCAAGTTTGTTGTCTACACCTTGGGTAACCCAGCAGGATCTGGGTATGTGCCTAAATTATCAACAACCAACCCTTAAGTTTTAAACCTTTATGTACTTCATAAATAGAGGTTTTAGAATAAATTGACATATGAGTATATCTTACATGTACAATTTCACTATCAGTTTAAACTACCAAGAATACCTTGTAGAAGTCTACCAGAAAGTCTCAATGAGGCAAATAATACTACCTACCTATCTATGAGTTTTTGCTTGCTGCATAAGGCAACTTTAAGCTTTAAGAAGGTTGAAATGAATACCTAGGTAGTTATTTCAATGATTACGAAAAATTATCAGATGTGGACACAAAAGTATGTACACTTCTAAGGCACTTCGAGTTTTTGAACACCACAGATAAAATATATAATGTGCAAAACAGCACTTTTTTCTCGGGAAAATTATATATTTATCTATGGGAAACAATATATAAGAAAGCGTAGGTATATGTGAGACACTTTTGAGAATTTCTTGCCATTTTCAGAGAAAAGATATTGTTGTTTTAAAAACAAATGCATCTTGAAATAGCACTCCAACTAAAGTACAAATGGACGGCTTTTTGCATAAAGGAACCAACCCACTAAATATGAAAAATCTAGATTTTAGGAAAACAAACTATTACGAGCAATACCATTTACTGTAAACAAGATCCATACACAGACTTAAAGTCTTTAGTATCCCATTAATTGTGTTTGATCTGAAATATAATTGTTATCATTGTCAAAACTTTAATTGCTCAATTGTTTTTCTGTGTTGGTTCGCCATCCGAATATGCAAGGAACTAGAACAGGCACAAAATATCAGCAAATACTATTAACATCTCGTGTTCGCATATTCAGCCGTTTCCTTTGGTTGAGCTTTGGTCGTTTAGGTGTGTGTGTATCGCCAGTTCACCGGTACCACCGTTGCTCCGACTCCTACTTGACTGCGTTGTGCAGCGCGGATGCAGCGCCAAGGCGGCACAGCGGCAACCACCGGCAGCTCCAGAGGCGACGTTGCTGTTCATAGCCCAGTAGACAAAATATCTATTTAAGACCACTCATACAATTATTCATCTTGTATGCTATCAGATAGCTGGAAACGTTTTAAAATAAGTTTTTTTTTGGTCGTCGTGTACACTTTGCAAAAATCAAAAGTTGGTCAGTTTTTTCTTGAAAAGATAAGGTTAAAAACAAAGTGGTCCCAAAATACTCCTCAAGGTCTTGTATAACAAGGTTTCAGCATTAGTTTAGGTACCTGACGACGTCAAGACTTTTTAACGGAATGTTTGGGTATTGAACATACAATATTTTTCCGGAAATTTTCTTGCTTTTTTTGGATCATTCCGAACAAAGAAGGTTTCCACTAACTTTTTTCTAAAGGTGATCTATTTCGAATTATACCCCATTTAATATCTGAAAAGCCCCAAAAATGGGTAAATCAATGCTCAAAACTCTGTTAAAAATTATCATTTTTGAGGTCGCCAAGTACGTAACAAGAGCCCAAAGAGTGATTTAAGATTACGTTATTTTCAAGCGATTTTTAGCCTTGTTTCCTTGTTTGTTAAGCCAAACGCGGCGAATTTTTGGTTCTCGAAGATAAACTTGGTGCCTGTTAAAGAAACGTTAGTAATTCTATATCTGCAATTTCATTCAACGGCCAGTATAAAATTGAGATGGGGTACATCAAGTCATAGTAAGTCTTAAAAATTTACCGTTGGCTTTCCACATAATCCATTATTTCACATGCCTTTTTTATTCCTTGGGCCTAGATGACATCCCTACAATTACCTATGAGTTTTCTTTCTCTGTCTAATATCCACTGTGGTATTATTCTTGTTGAATCACCAGAAAACCTTTGTTGAGATTGTTGTTGTAGAATGCGCTTCCGGTAAATATAAAGCCACTATTAACAATGTTTTTTTAGATATATGGTATATCAATAACAATTCATATCTGAACAACTCTAAATGCCGCAGTTCAACTTTCACCCGGAAAGTTAAACTTTTAACTTTCCCATACAAAATTGATGATTCTTTATTCAAAGGTTTCGACGTGAATTTCGATTCTCAGCTTACCTTCAACTACCACATGAGTGAAATAGTGAAATTATAAGTAATGCGTCGCACATGTTGCTTTATTATCATAAATTGTCAAAATTTCAGTATCACAACGCTTATTATTCAGTGCTTGTTATAAGTAAATAATAATACGGTGCGAAAAATGATATTGAAAAAATGCAAAAGAAATTTCTTATATTATATATATACTATTGAAGTGGTTGTGTCTATCCTCCAGAAGGATATATGATTATTCATTATTATTGAATAGATTTAGTGCCTCTTTTTTGGAGAAACGCAGAGAGCAGGCAGTGATCATATTTTTACGAGTATACAAATTATTACTACATGTGAACATCGGCTGTAGTATTTTGCTATCGCAAGTTGATTTCATGATACCTAGATTGACGTTCAAATATAGTTTTCCTTTCCTGCAATTAGGAACTGACAAATCTTCTGTCTAAAGGCGAAAACACAGTGGAAGTCGGAATCCTGCTTACCGGCAAACCAGCGCCAACCGGCGCCTTTAATCTTCTACAACAATATCATGCTCTTGAGTTGGCAATAACACAAAAGGGGTAGGCTCAGGCTTGTCGGTGCAGGCAGTCGGCGCTACCGGTTTTACCGGAATGATTACTTAGTTTCTCGCTGGTTGTCAGAGCAGGTTGATGTGGATAATGGATATAGACAAGCTAGTAAAGACTGTGGAGGTTACACCAGTTTTTAGTTAGGTGTTCAACTTTTTCCAGAATATAATTGAATGTTTTATAATCCCATACTGGAAAAAGCGGTCGGGGTCACCTTTCAACACCTTGAACAAATGATGATATTCACCATAATGTACCCTCACGATAATTGGGGTGAATACCATTTTCTTCCTAGTGATTATTTTAGTGACAGTGCTGTCCAATGCAATAGATTTATCTTCAAATTAGTTAGACCCCAGGTTGACGCGAAGTCTATACTGGAACTTATAAACGACCGGTTTTATTTGCTTTCTCTCGTCAGCACTGTGTCCATGACCGGCGCCGAAATTCGGTACCGATCGGCGCTGATAAGCAGGAAACCAGCTTCCACTGTGTTTTCGCAATAAAGCACCAATAAACTTTATGTGCAATAATGCGCTATTTTCTGTTGTGCATTTCAGGAATTAAGAAGTGTTATACGCTCACATATTTGAATATTCTTTTACCCCTTTCTCTGGACGTTTTCGTTTGTTATATGATTATGTGTAAACATAACATGACATAGCTGTATATTCTTTTTTGCTATTAGCTATTAATTAATTCATAGTTTATTTTCTCTTTACTTGTAGCGCCTTTCTTTTTTTGTGTCTTTTGTTTAACTTTATGGCACACAGACTGTGCAAAATATATCGTTGTACTACAGGGTGCGGCAGAGAGGATGGACGATTTTAAAAAAATCATAAAATAGCTAAAAACTTCCGTCCTCTCTGCCGCACCCTGTATTTATTGCTCTTTAAATGATATCCGTACTATTTGGCAATAGATGCTTACATCTTGAATCTAAAATTTAGCCTATAGTTTACATGTCGATAATCACCCGTGCATGTATGGCCAACAGAAGCACAAATATCAACAGATCTTCTTTACTGTAGTAAACGTTTCAGTAACAAATGATCTTCTTCAGTACAATGACAACATCTGGTTTCACCATTAATGATCGCGGCCCTTGTCGACCGTACTACTGTTGCAACTCTTCGGGCGCGGATGGTGGGGCTGCGGCCCAGCGGACACGAAGACCCCGTCAGCGGCGGCGTTGCGCCGCTCAGCGTCAACGGCGGCTGTTGCCGTCCATGGCCTTGCGTACCTCGAGCACCAGCACGGCCGTGCCGCCTTCGTCAGTCGATTGTCGAACGCCGAACGTGCCGGACATGCTACAGCACGACCGTCGGCCGTTGTCGCACCTACCACCGCACCTGCACCACCCGCACAGTCACCCATGGAGTACCCGGCCACGGTCTGCGCTCTGCTCTTCGGTGCCATCTTCGGGGTGCTGTCCGCTTCCCTGAGCAAGACGCTTCGTTATCAAGCTCCGGACGAGTGCAAGTGGGTCACCGTTGCCGATGCACGAGATGACGACGACGTCGCCCTCGCCTGCAGACTTCGAACCATCAACAGCGAGCTGGAGAACACCAACTTCTCCGTCATCCAACCCCAGCACACGGTCCGGCTGCGTTTGGAGTGCAGTGACGCCTTGTTCTTCCAGAGTTCGCTCAGTGCGGGTAGTTTCCGGCAGTTAGTGGAGTTACGTGAGTTGAGCATCGAGTATTGCAAGATCGGAAACTTGTCAGATGGTGCGTTTCGTGGGCTGAAGGAGCTCCGTAACCTGACGGTGCGGACTCACAACACCGACTGGTCCTCCATGACATTAGAGTTATCGCCCAACGCCTTCACGGACGAGCTTCGCAACCTGGAACGTTTGGATTTAGGCGAGAACAACATCTGGAATATCCCCGAAGGTGTGCTGTGTCCGTTGTACGCATTGGAAGTGCTTAACTTGACACGTAACCGGTTGCGCGAGGTGTCGAGTTTCCGTTTTACCGCGAACCCGTCGGAAAAGTGCGGGGCCAATTTGAAGATCCTCGACCTATCCCGCAACTCGATCGACCGGCTTCCGTCTAGTCAGTTCTCGGGACTCGGCCAGCTACAAAAACTCTACCTCCAAGCGAACCGGATGACGCAGCTGGCCGATCGCGCATTGGAGGGACTCACCTCCCTCAACATCTTCAAGATTTCCGATAACCGGTTGGTCAGCTTGCCGCCGGAGCTGTTTTCGGACACGCGGGAGATTCGCGAGATGTACCTCCAGAACAACTCCATCAACGTGCTCGCGCCCGGACTATTCAGTGAACTCACGCAACTCCTTGTGCTGGATTTATCTCACAACGAACTCACCGCTGACTGGATTAACGCCGCCACTTTCGCGGGTTTGGTGCGACTCGTTGTGTTGGATATCTCGTATAACAGGATATCAAAGTTGGAACAATCTGTGTTCAGAGACCTTTATAGTTTACAAATCTTACGCTTAAACGATAACTTCATCGAAATGATACCCGACAACATCTTCTCTGCTCTCTACAATCTCCATACACTCATCATCTCCAATAACAGACTGACTAGGATAGACAGCGATACTTTCAATGGACTATACGTGCTCTCGTTGCTATCCATAGACAATAACAGAATATCTTGGATACATGAGGAAGCTCTCAAGAACTGCTCCAGCCTACAGGACCTACACCTCAACGGCAACAAAATAATGCAGGTGCCGGAGGTGATAAAGAGCGTCCCTCTCCTCAAGACGCTTGACTTAGGCGAAAACCACATAGACACCATAAAAAACGAAACCTTCAGCGATCTAAAGCAGATGTACGGCCTCCGACTGACAGAAAACAACATCGGCAACATCTCTAAAGGTGTCTTCGATAAAATGACAGCGCTGAAGATTCTGAATCTGTCGAGAAACAAGATCCAAAAGGTAGCAGCCGGCGCATTTGACAGCAACATTAACCTGCAGGCGATTCGTCTGGACGGAAATTACCTAACCGACATTGAAGGGTTGTTCGCAAAGCTCCCAAGTCTCGTCTGGCTGAACATCTCCGACAATCAGCTGAAATGGTTCGATTACGCTCTCATACCCACCGGCTTGCAGTGGTTGGACATCCATTCCAATCAAATCGAGGAACTAGGCAATTACTTCGAGATCGAGTCGACGCTTTCGCTGAGCACGTTCGACGCCAGCGCGAATAAGCTCACGGAAATCACCGGAAGTGCGATACCTAACAGCATGGAAGTCCTTTTTCTCAACGACAATTTGATATCTAAAGTGCAATCGTACACGTTTTTCAAGAAGCCGAATCTAACGAGGGTGGACCTGTTCGGAAACAAAATCACAAGGTTAGACCCGAACGCCCTGCGGATATCAGCCGTGCCGCCCGAGAAGGACTTGCCGGAGTTTTATATAGGAGGCAACCCGTTCCAGTGCGACTGCACGATGGAGTGGCTCCAGAAGGTGAACGTGGGCAACAGAGCTCGCACCCAACCGAAACTTGTCGATCTGGAAAGCATCTACTGCCAGCTGTTGCATAAGCGGGGCCAGACGTATGTGCCTTTAGTGGAGGCCGCCCCATATCAGTTTCTTTGTACATACGACACACACTGCTTCGCCACATGTCACTGTTGTGATTTTGACGCATGCGACTGTGAAATGACCTGCCCTGCCAACTGCACCTGTTACCACGATCAAAGCTGGTCTGCGAACGTTGTCGATTGCGCTTCGAGCGGCTATGTGGCCAAACTACCTGAACAAATTCCTATGGACGCAACAGAGTTGTACTTGGACGGAAACGATTTGAGAGGTATGAACAGCCACGCCTTCATTGGACGAAAGAAGCTAAAAATATTGTTTCTGAATGATTCAAACATCGAATTCATCCAAAACAAAACCTTCAATGGGCTGAAAGAGTTGGAAGTTTTGCATCTGGAAAGCAATCGCTTGGGTGAGCTAAATGGTTACGAATTCGAGGGACTAGAGAGCCTGAAAGAAATATTCCTGCAGAGGAACAGAATAACAAGTATCCACAACCAGACATTTGTAGGTCTTCGCAAGCTGAGAGTGCTGAAGCTTGACCATAACCGTTTGAACATTTATAACATGTGGAATCTCCCCACGACTCTGATAGAAGTCACGTTGGCGTACAACCCTTGGTCTTGCGACTGCGAGTTCACCGAGAAGCTTCGCGAGTGGATGAGACACGGCGATGCGGTGCAAGACTCTAAATCGGTGAGGTGTGTATTCAACTCCACAGATGTCGACTTCTACAGTGACGATGTCTACTCGGACAATTCAGAAGTCGGCTTTTTCATCAGTCAAGAGAACAATTCCTGCACCGGACTGCCTAACATCGACAACAGCATCAACGGCAACCTCACCGGAACCAAAACCATCATCCAGCGTCAAGTGATCGAGGACTACCTGCCTCTGCTAGTGACTACCTTGGCCGTGTTTGCAGTTGTGGTGATAATGATGTTGATCGTCTTCATTTTCCGGCAAGAAGTGCGCGTGTGGTTCCACTCAAAGTTCGGCATCCGCATCTTCCAAAGGGCTTCCGATCTGGATCGCGACGATCGCGAGAAGCTCTTCGACGCGTTCGTGAGTTACAGTTCGAAAGACGAAGCGTGGGTCGCGGAAGTGCTCGCTCCGGCGTTGGAGCCCAACTACAAGTTGTGCCTTCACTACAGGGACTTCCCTGTAGGCGCGTTTCTAGCCGATACGATAGTGCAAGCGGTGGAGTCCTCCAAACGAACCATAATGATCCTCTCGGAGAACTTCATCAAATCGGAATGGTGCCGGTTCGAGTTCAAGTCCGCGCATCACCAGGTGCTTCGAGACCGGCGCCGTCGGTTGATAGTGGTTTTGTTGGGTGAAGTGCCGCAGAAAGACCTCGATCCCGACATCCGGCTGTACCTGAAGACCAACGTGTACTTGCAGTGGGGTGATAAGTTGTTCTGGGAGAAGCTGAGGTACGCGCTGCCCGACGTGCCCAACAACCAGAGGCACCATCAGCCGGTGAGGAACCCTCACGTCCATCACCACGTTCACAGACACAGTGCCAGGGGCCAACCGCCCAATCCACCCGGGAATGGTAATAACGCTCAAAGGACTGTCGCCATCCATATTTGACGTTGAAGTTGATTAACGTCATTAATGTTAGAGATGAATTCGGTAAGTGGGAGACAAATATTTTGTTTATCGCCGGTTTTTGATATGCATACTCCAAGATTACTTGTACTACTGTTTTTTGGCTATATAACCACGAAACACATATTTTCATAAGGATATATGAGTAGCTGCATATCGTTGTACGAAATTAAAAAATTATGAGTGCTTCAAGTCCACAGAAAAATCCAGCGTCGATCATGTTCACTTAAAAAATATACATAAAACTATTATTAATCAAACGTAGATAAAGCTCGTATCATATATCTTGATTATTAACCTGTATGATTCATTATTTTCTAACAAAGTGCCTATTTATTTGGAAATATGTGAGCTCCTCCAATGTGATATTAATGGACAATAACTTAAATTCTTCGTAATAGTACAGAAAGTAATTTGTGCGTGTACCAGTTCTAAAAATGGAATGCTCATTTAGATAACCAGAACATCAAAATAAGATAAGAAATTTACAAATGATGCTAGAGCGCCTAAGCCTGAAAAAGTAATATGAGGCATAATACATTCATTAAAGGACGATGATATAACTGACAAAATTTAACTACCAACCGAGAATAACAAAACTGTCAAGTTAGGAACTATTACTTGTAAATAAACTCTACTACTAACAATTATTCAAATGAACGTTTTTTCATGTTTGAAAATGAAATTTTAGGACTTATCGATAAAATATACTGGACATATTAAGCTTTGATTGATTGAAACTGGCTATTGAATTAATTTTCCAAAAACAGTAGCTATAAAGCATATTATTTAGGTAAAGTTCCTAGTAAATCAAAAAATACATTTTGTATGGATGGTACATGAATGCATCTCTTAAGCACACTTGTAGCCATAAATGTAAATCAAAATAATTGTTTAACGGTGAAAATAAATTCTACGCAGCTGTGTTCCGGTAGACAATTAAATGACAAAAAAAATTCTGTTCAAACTAGGTAGATAGTTTTCATAAATATAAATTCACATTGCTACATGTTGATTGGACACAATGACTCATCGCAACACCAAAAAAAAGCTCAACTCTTTAGATGTAACAGTGCTATTTTGCAATTGAGTAGATTCACAATTTTTGTCATATTTAGCTTTATAGCGAGCTTTTTAAAAGTTATCTTTTTTATGCACCATATTCATAAATTCGTTTACAATAGGTAGACACAATTCGATATAATGATATAAAACTGTTAAGCTGTGAGGGTTTATAAAATCGCTATTTATTGACATTTTTATATCTCAAATTCGATTTATCAAAATAAGTGTGATTTTTTGAAAAAAAATCTTGTACGTGCATATTTAAACTACAAGGTATTAAACAATATTTTGTTGTTTAAATTTGCATTTACTATAATTCCTGTATCACAAACATAGCTTATTTTTTCTGTACCCGAATATGAAAAGACATTTTCCATCGTTCTGTTTTTTTCTTCGGGGTATGCCTATCAAAAACCTGCCATAAATAATTTTGTCTCCTACTTTTCCTGATTATACTCGACTGTAAGTCCCAATTGTGATACTACTGTAGACTGTGAGTGCAATGAGTAGAGCAGGATGTGATATATAGTCAAAAAGTTCGGCAACGTGTGAAAGGATCGAAGTTTGTATGTGTCATTTTTTTTTTTCAAAAATAAGTGTGAATGGTGGCCGAACTCACTCCTATGGCGAATCGATGGAGTCTAACGAGAAAGGATTAACGTTTGTAAATATGGACCTGTATACATCTAAGTAAGTTTTGAATTTTTGTAAAGCTTGTACATATTATACATATAAAAATCGTATTTATTTTTGTAGGATTTTTTTAATTAATTTCTATCGATTCACTTGCCTCGTTATTTTGTTGTCTCTTGTACACTGAAATTACAACAGATTTGTGACAATTATCTGAATAAATTACATACTAAAAAATGACATATGAGCGTAGTCTTTCTTTTTCTTGATGTACATTTTTCAAATATTTACTGAACAAGTTTGGGTACTTATAGATCCGTGATCAAAAAAAAAAAAAAAAAATAATTGGAGATTATAAGAATGGACTCAGGCTCATCCGTACTATTCCTAAGAACTGCTTTGGAAAGCCGAAGTTTAGAAGAGAAGATAACGTTTTGCTTTTTCTATGTATAATCATTCAACTTGGCTTAACCTTCTAATAGTCTCATTTGAAAAATATTGAAGTAAAAATTTGGCAAAGTTAATCCACAGTAAAGCTTCACTATTAAATAAATTGCCTAACTGCATCTTCTGAATTATAGCTTTGAATCTAAGCAAGTAACTACAAAAGATTGCCATAACGCAGATACAACAGAACAGACCCTATGGGTTTTTAATCATCATCAATGTAATTTTTATACCGAATATCAGACAATTGGCACATATCTGAATCATGAACGCAACATTCCAGAACGAATAGACTTTTCCTGTATAAAAACTATTTTCCTAAACAATATAATAACGCCTTTTTTATTCTGTGAATATAAATAAAACACTACGTTTTTAATTAATTGTTTTATTTAATTCAGCGTGACATTCCTCGATGCCGAAAAAACTCTTTTTTATTTCGACAGCCGCAATTCACAAAATCTTTAGCATACCATTTAAAATTCAAATCAGCATATATCTGCGCCTGATTACCATTTATCAGCAATAAAAAACAAAACACGCATTGACAAAAGCATTTATCACAATGAGTTGTTAGCGAATATATTTGAGAATGCTTAAGTGCCCGGTCGGATAACGGTAGCTTACCATCAAGGGGGTTTGTCACGTTTTACATAGCCATTATTATCTAGGTAATATTTATTTTCTCATGAGAGTATGGACTTGCATGTACTACTATGATGCAGTAGTTTCGATTTTATACTTTTTTAGTACTTGCTCAAAAAGTGCCAATACTGCATTACTTTATTTTTGTATTCAGGATCAATTCAACAGCATTTAGGCTTTTATAGCAGAATTTTTTGAAACTCTATAACTTGATTTAAGCTGGATGCAACACTGTTTCTTTTTTACTGGGATCTGTCAAGTTAAGTCCTGTAATTGTAGGTATCATTTTTCGCTGTAAGAGGAAACATTAATAGTTCCAATAACACCGGTGAACAAAATTAAAAGAAATATTGAGCATCACCGTGGAAAAGATTCCATCTTTTTAATCTTGACGCTAAACGTTCTGACTGGGATTTTGACAGGTTTAATTTCCGAACTAAGTCATTATGTTCGCCTTGTGTGATTAAATGCGGCGCTGGCAGATCAAACGAAGGATTGGATATTTTTACGCTTTCTGTACTATCACTTTCAGAATCGGTGGATTCGACTTTTACATCCAAAGACCAAACCAAGACTCTGGTGGAACTGGGACAGAAAGTTCATCACTGTGCTTAAGGGGCCGCAAAGCTGATGGCAAATTAAAATACTTGACAGTATGTTTCGATTTTGGTCCAATACTTTTAATATACTAAGTGACATATAAATCCGAACACCCAGTTTAAATGGTTTTATTTTAATAAAATTTTGTATAAGTACTTAATGAAGCATAATAAGTAAATATAAAAATTTCAAAATGATTGCACTGCTTTAATACCCTTTGACCTTTAATAATGTGTGGATGCACCCTGATGTGCTACGCATTCTCCAACGCACCTAGGCATGCTTCTGATCAGGTGGTCAATGTCCTCCTGTGGTATTTCATTCCAGGCAACCACCAACTCCTCTCGAAGTGCTTCTAGAGTCTGAGGAGGACGTTGCAAATTGAGCAATCTCCTACCCATCATATCCCACACGTGCTCAATTGGGGATAAGTCGGGAGATCTTGGTGGCCATGGTAACAATGTGACATCATTATGTTGAAAGAAGTCTATTGTGACTCTTGCAACATGTGGCGGGCATTATCTTGTTGGAAAGTTGGATCTGCTAGGGTGTCAAGATAGGGTAAAAGATGGGGTTCTAGAACTTCGTGGATATAACGCTGCGCGTTCATGTTACCTCTGATGAAGATTAAAGGTGACCTGGAACCATAAGCTATAGCACCCCAAACCATAACTCCAACAGTGTGATGAACATGTCTTTCAACAAAAAACTGTGGATTCCTCCTTTCACCACGTCGCCTTCTAACCCTGGCACGACCATCGTGCATGCCTAAACAAAATGGAGACTCGTCACTAAAGACAATACTGTTCCATTCCTGATCCCAGAGTGACCTTTGTCTGCACCACTCAAGGCGATTACGTCGGTGTTCTCGAGTTAAAGGGAGGACCCAGTGTGGCCGGTATGAAAACAAGCCAAAACTTCTCATTCGTCGGTAAACATTTCGCATGCCAATAGGTCTTCCGTGTTCTGCGAACCATTCATTTGCAATGGACCTGGTAGTGGAAAAACGGTCCCTTAAGGCCAATAATCTTAGGCGGCGATGTTCACGGTCTGTTGTTCTACGGCGGCGTCCAGTGCCCCTTGCTCTTTGCGTACGGCCTTCTCGAAGCCATGCCTGACAACACCTAACCATAGTGTCTACACTTCTTTGCACTCTAACTGCAATTGCCCGAAAAGAAAGTCCAGCTTCCCGAAGTCCCACTATAAGGCCCCTATCAATCTCACTAAGTTGACGAAATCGTACAGGTCTCCGTACTCTAGGCATCGTAACCGATCGTAAAGGATGTCAGGATTTTTAGAGCGTTAGTGAATTAAAAAAAAAACAGTATAAAAACCGGAATGTCCAACTGATAAGGCTGAAAAGTTTTTCACTTGTTATTTACAGTAAGATAAATACATTCACCAACTTTTATTAAAATAAAACCATTTAAACTGGATGTTCGGATTTATATGTCACTTAGTATATTTCTGAGGCAAAAATAGTAATCAGTAGTATTGTCTCTCGGTTCTCTCCAAACCATTGGTACCGCAAAGGGCATTTTACGATTGTCGCCTCTTAACTAACCTGTTAGCAACGTTACACAAGTCTTACAGTATATATGAGGGGCCCATAGTTGATGGCCAACTTTAATTCCAAAATAAAGTCCGTATGCTTTCAACACAAGGAGATTAAAAGTACTTTTTTGGGATTTAATAGCTTCTCCGCACACATAAAACTGTTCGCACTATTTACACAATTTCTAGCAATTAACCGTAAAGCTAGTCTCGATCACAATAAACTAAAAACAATACACCGTTTTAACAAAAATCAACAGTACTCAGAACATCTCAGTACCCTTCAACACAGAAAACGTAACTGGCTCGGCTGCTATTAGTCTACTAATAAACGCAATATGCTCTCTAAACATAGAGCTCGCATATACTAAACAGGAATAGACAGGTCTTAACATTATATATGTGCGTCATCGCATAAACGCCGAGAAACCAGCAATATGAGATGTTACGTATTGTAATTCATAAAAGTAGATGTTACCGAATATGTTTTTGGATTTGATTTAAGGGTCTCAAAATACATACGATACACCTAAAAATTGTCATGTCACAAATCCTGTGTTTATCAGTGTCATAAGCGAGAAAATCTTGACAAAACGTCAAAAAATGACATCACTCACGCCTCCCACTGATCCCGCCCATTTAGAGAGAGATGACCGACTTCGGAGGCGTGCTAGCAGATGATCGGCCAAACTCCTACTCGTCATTATTCGTCAGAGCGGTCCGGTGGACCTTTGCTCTTAGTTAAAAGTCTCGGCGGTCTGTTAGTCTGTCAGATCTGGCTACCCAGATATCAAACATGTTTAAGGAGAAAAGGGAAATAAGGAAAGAAAG